TTCTCAATACCTACATGATTTAGATAATGAATGTTTCCTTAGCCTCCAAGGTAAAAATAGTTTCAATATATAAGGGAAAGTCATGGATACCAGTATAATGCTTACAGTAAAAGAACAAAAATTTAGGTAGTCTTACAGAATTAAAACCACAACATACTCCAAGGGTGCTCCTGGGGTGCTCAGGATGGATATCTCCAAGGAATAGAAACTGATGCAAAATAAGTCTACCCTCTACAGAGGGTGCTGAGAAGGAGAAGAACTCTGTGTGTGTGGAGTGGGGGGATGGGGGTGGGAGGTGGTAGTATTCCAAGTCCCTGTAAGATAGAGTAGAATTTTCCCAAAGGGTTTCCAAGGCCATAAACCTTTCTAGAAGCAGACTTGCTCTTTCAAGCAGCTGGTGGGTTTGAACCACTGGCCTTCTTAGTAGCAGCTTAATGCTGTAAACACAGTGCCATCAGGGCTCCCTATTGCTCTGAGAGCCTCTCCATCTCATCTAGTTAGATTCTGCCTCTTTCTGCCCCTTTTGGTTTGAACTTCCTGATCAATTTTAAAAGTCTTTCCTTTCTAACTGGCTGATCTTCAGCACACTTCCTAATTCTCCTAAACACAACTAGAATTGGTTGGGGACAGTACCAGTAGACAAAATAACAGACAATAATTAGACCTGCGACTCCTTTTAACATCTGGAATGTCAACTAGTTCTGGAAGTCCAGGTTTTATGAAGAGACCTACAAGGAAGTAGAAACTCAGAGGTCACCACCAGCAAAAGACAGGCTAATGCGCAATGTCAGCAAAGCTGAACAGGATTTTTAAACTGCTGTGAAGCTTTTGCATTCTCCAAGTTATGGAATTTCTCGCTCAAAGTTTCCTTGTAAGGATGCTTGAGCACTTTACAGATGATGCTTTGTGATTAAAGAGAATTAGCAGCAAAATATCACCTAGTCAAGTATAAGGCAGCACAACAGACTACAAAAAAAAGGTGGGTGTTCATCAAACCCACCAGCTGTTCCAAGGGAGAAAGGCCTGGAGATCTGTTTTGTTAAAGATGACTGCCAAGAAAACTCTATGGAGCATGTCTACTCTTGTTACATGAGGCCCCTATGAAACTGGATCTACAATACCCAAAAGGAATCAAAAAAAGTGCACATGGTGAAAGATGCATCACCGCTGTGGAGCATCTACTACAGATGAGGAAGCAGAGAGTTACAGCTTGTAGTTCCAGACTACTAAGAGGGTAGCAGATGTCACTCTAACCCTAGTCATTAAACAAAATTCATTGTCACCAAGTAGATTCCAACCACGAATTTTTTGGATAGTGGTCAAATGCTGTAACCACAGTGCTAACAACTCCTACAGTGACCTTTGAAGAACACCTTCTTGGTGTTTTGTAGCTCAGGCTCATTTCATTTTCCGCTTATGGCTGTGTATTAAATTCTCTCATCCATCCGAATGACTGAGAAACAGCAATATTATTGCTGTTGATACACTTATATTGCTGTGTAAGTACGATTCGTTTTCTTGACTAATAGTGCATCATATTAGACATTTTTAGAAGTGAAACTCATTGAAACTTTGGTTACTGTTGGATTAGCAATGCATCTTGATAGCTTTATTACATGAAAATAGTAAAGGCATGGATTTGTGGGGGAGGGGCAGGGAGCGTTAGGTTGTCTTTTCTCCCTACACACAATTTTTTTAGGGTGGTTTCCAAATTCCTGATCCCACGTTTTGGTTTTGTGTTTTTTTTTTTTAAAAAAAAGGCTCTTTTTTAATTTTTTTTTTAGTTTATTATTTTTTTTTGTGTGTGTGTACCGTCAAATCAGATCTGACTGGTACAGGAGGAGATTGTTCCTGCTTCTCAAGCAGAGCATCTGGTGGATTTGAACTGTGCACCTCTGGGATTGCAGTACCCCTTCTTGCCACTAGGTCACCAGAGCTCGCCCTGATCCCACGTTTATCCCAAAGGGACATTTCCCCATTTTGTCTGTATGCTAGCACTGTGCTCATATTACTTTATTATTGAAAGGAAACATTTTGAGCAAAGGGTCTTTTTTAATTTTTTAGGGTAAAATAGTAAAGATAGATTTATTAGAAAGTTACATCCCAAAGAGATGGACCTGCGTCCCTGAAAGAAAATGTGAAGAGGACAAAAGGTCCTTTTTTAAAGGATAGACGATCCCTCACTTTCTTTTTCTTTCAATATTCAGGGGCCCCTGGCCAGAAATCTCCTGTCTGCGCCTTAGTGAGACCTTGGTTTCAATCACGCCAGATTATCGTGGGGGAGCCTTGTCGAGCGCGGGTGGGGAGGTGCGGGGAGGTGCTGAAGTCGCTGACTTCCACTGGGGTCAGAATTGAGACCCTTTGGGAGCTGGGAGTGCGCTCGGCCCCCGGCTCCTAAAAGCGCGTGCGCCCCCTAGGGGCCCACGGGAAGGACTAGTGGAGGATTGGTTGAGGGTGGGGATCCTACCCTGGCTCTGCACCAGGGGCGCTGGAAGCCACAAATTCGCGGTGCCAAAATTAAACCAGGGTATCCTAGCGCAGCTCCCTGTGGCTAACCCCTCAATCCACGTCCCAGTGTTCCATTAGGCTTGCTTCAAGGGTGAGAGTGTCTTGACAAGAGCACAGGGTAGTAGTGGCCGCGCTGGTCTGGAGGTTCCTAAATTCAGCTCATTTCGGAAAACGCGCGCCCTGATCTCCACATTTCCTGGAGAGCAGGCTGCGCGCCCCTCAGTGGCCCCGGTTCCGGGTGGCGCGCGGGGGCGTTGGGAATGGGGGTGGAGCCCCTTGGACGGGGAAGAACTTGTAATCGCTCGCCGTGGGACAATGCCGACTTTTGAACCTCTAACCACTAAGCAAACAACCCTTGTGCTCTCGCTCCACTGTCCAAACAGGGTTTATTGACTGGCGTTTCACGGCAACGCATAGCAACTGCGGCGGTGGCGCGGGCGCATTGGGCGGACGGCGGGCGCGGGTCCGCGTTCCTCCCGGACCTGAGTCCCGCGCGGGCGCCGGTCCCGCCGCCTCATCCTGGCAGCACAGCGCCGCTGCCTCGGAGGAAGCGGCTCCCGGAAGGCTGGCCTCGGCGCGCCCAGGCCGGCCCCAGGACCAGGAGCCTGCGGGCGCCTTTCTCAATCAGGGGTGGAGTGACACTAAATCAGGGGTGGAAGGGCCACTAAATTGGGGAGGCGCTTCGGGCGCTATGTTTTTTTAAAGCGCTCATCCTCTCAGCCCTCTCGCACCTTCTCCAGTCAAGATGGCAGGCAAAACCCTTCCCCTTGGGGTGCACACAGCCCAGCGGCCCCGGGGCCTCAAACCTCAAGGACGACACTAGGTCCCAAGTATCAGCCAGATAACAAGTAGCGCTCACTAAAGACTTACACTGACAGACGAGGTTGAAGCAACCACGAAAGACAGGAAATAGTCCTGTGAAAATGGGTGGCCATGATTTTCAGAAGCTGGTACTGTTTGAACCAGCCGTGGGGCGTTCCACCGGAGCTTCTAGAAAGATCAGTCTTGGAAGCCAAGAGGCAGTTCTACTCTGTACCACGGGGTTGCTGTGAGTGGGAATTGACTAAATGGCAGTGGGTAATTGGGTTTGGTATACTCCTAGAAAGTGTTGTGAGAAAACAGAAAATATATGGTTTCTCCACTTAATGGTTTGCACTTAATTAGCCTGACCCAGCAAAGGGAGTCTCTTATGTAGAGAAGTAGCTGGGTGGGCAATTGCCTTGGTGTAGATCTGAAGAGATGCTTGCCAGGAGCTCGGTCCCCTCCCTACTTCTACACCTTCTAGCAGCAGAGAACCAGTTGGCCCGTCCAGTGCACTTTCACCCAAAGGCGGCCCCTGGAGAGGCGTTCATTCCACTGCTCCAGGGCAGGGACGGGCACAAGCAGCCTTGGGCTGCAGACCCTCTGGGGTAAAAAGAAGCTGTGCAGATAGCCTCACCCATCACCCTCCCTGATTTTTCAAATTCTCCTTTGCAGCCAGAAAGCTCCTTTTCTTTCCTTTTTCAAGAGGACAATTTCAAACGAAATGCAAAGACGATCAAGACACAGTCAGCTCAAAAAACCTTATTTATCTCTTTTCTTTCTTTTTTTTTTTTCTGGAAAATATTCAACTCTATTCAAATATCCCCCAACTTCCCTTCACCATATAGCTTCTCTCCCCACACCACCCACCCGTTGGATTCAGACAGCTTTAAAAAAAATAATGCTGTCTTGGATATTACACAGACCAACAACCCAAACAGCAGCAACAAACAACAACAAAAACTTCCCCCTTCTTCATCAGCCCCCAAGATTGTGAAAATGACAGGAAGTCCAGGCTGGCTCTGGCATTTTTATGGTAGGGACATACATTCAACTCAGAGGGGCTCTGGTGACAGGCTTTCTAAACAAGGGCCCCCTCACCAGGCCTGGTGTCTTATAACCATCAGCCCCCTCAGGCCAAACACCACACCCACCCCAGAAGAATGGCTCCGTCTGGAAAAGGATGAGATGACAGAGTAGGCCACCTGGGGCTTGTGCCGCTGGCCAGGTCCCCAGAAAGCAACTGGGCGGCAGCCATCTTGGCTCCAGGCGCGGGTGGCCTTTTTCTTGGAGTCTCTTTTTCTCCTTAGCTGCAACCAGAGATAAGCACAGTAAGTCTTGAAGGTGACAAGACGAGTGGGAGGAGAGGACAGAAGGCCTGGTCCGCGGAACCAGCCCAGACATTGCTTCTGTGAATATACTCAACAAAGCTGCTCATTCTTGTCTATTTGTTGGCAGAAACAATCAGACAGGGAGGAAGTAAAAACCATGACTGCAATCTTCCCAAAGGCCCCCAGCTTCACTCCACACAAGCCCCTGTTGTTTTCTCTAAGAGCTGGCTGAGTCGGTGTTCACTGGTGGGTGTTGAAGGGTCTTGCCTTAGGAAGATTGTGACAGAGCTTATGTCCCCTGAGGCTCAGTCTGGAATTGTTTTGCTGCAAGCCTGGAATTGCTTAGGCCACTGCAGGCCACTGCAGGCCACTGTGGGTCACTGGGTGACGGTGGGGTTCAGCACCCCACCAGCTGGCCCCAGCACCCCAGGGACCGAGCCAGGCACTGAGCCCTGCAGGGAAGACACAGGACTCAGGGACTCTGGGACACTTCTCAGAGGACCGGGAGGAGGCTGAGGAGCCTGGGGTGGTGGCTGGGGTGGCTGCTGCTGCTGGTTCTGCTGCTGTAGCTTCTTCTTGGTGATCTTCCTTTCCTTGGCTCGGCGGTTCTGGAACCAAATTTTAACCTAGGAATGGAAAGGAAATGGAGAAGAAAGAGGGGGGTGAAGGAACTGAGGACAAACTCTCTGCAAGCTCCTCAAGCTGGCCAAGCTCCTTTCTATCACCTGCAAAGAGCTCTCCTCCTGCCTCAAAGTGTCCTTTCCAAAACAATCTTGATCAACATCTATGCTAGAAGTAAGTATGCAGTGTGCCTCTGAACCCCTGAAACAGAGATTGCAAAAAAGGGCTAAGATAGTACCGACTTCAGATAGCAGCCATGGACTTCCAAGGTGAGACAGAAATGCAATATTTCTCACCTAAGGGTTAGAAAAGAAATGTTTCCTGGCTCATCCCTTCCCCCTTTCAGGTTCGAGTTTTCATGAGCCAAACCTCACCCCTCCGGTTTTTATAAGAAGGAATACATACACACACACACACACACACACACACACACACACACACACACACACACTGTCCCCTCAGGTACTATGTTGAGCATAAAGGAAATATGTCTCTTCATAAAATATACTTAGCCTAAATACAATTCTGAATTATGCTGGCATATAAGTTTCCCCCTTTCATCTCCCATACCCACAACAACAATAACAAAACAATGGGGGGGGGGAGGAAGAAATAAACTTCAACAAGTTGATTCTGATTCATAGAGACCCTGTATGAATTAAGCACTCAAATGCTAACCCAAAGATCAGCGGTTTGAAGCCACTCACTGGCTCTGCAAGACAAAGAGCTGGCAATTTGACCTACTCCGATAAAAATAAAAATAAACAAAAAGCCCCTAACCCTCTAAATACATTGTTGGGCATCTGTTTTAATAGTGACCTGATATGGATAAGCAGTTAATTGCTAGGGCACAGTCAGTGGCTCAAACCATCCAGCAACTCACTTGAGAAAGACCTAACAATGTGTTCTTGAAAAACTTAAAAACAACACCAAGCAAAACAACTCAAATTCATTGCCCTTGACCATGGAGTCTACCCTGACCTATGTTGTTGCTGTTATGTACCATCCAGTTGTAACCAACTCATAGCTGACCTTCTGGTGGGTTTTCAGATGCAGTAAATGCAGAAGGAGATCACGAGGCCACCAGAGCTACCACTCCAGCTAACAGCGAATGACAGGAAATCCTATAGGGCAGTTCTACCTTGTTCTGCCCCATTGCTGAGAGTAGAAATCAACTTGGGGGAACACATACATAACAGAACTGTTCCATCGGGTTTTCTGGCCTGTAATCTTTAATGAAGCAGTTGGCCAGTCTTTGTCTTGCAGAGTCACTGGTGGGTTCTGAACACCCACCCACCCACAGTTAATAGTCCAGGCCTTAACCATGCTTCACCCCAAATCCCCCTCAGAAAACAACCACTTTCTGCCTTCCAGTGGATTCTGACTCACAGTGACCCCCTAGGACAGAGACAACTTGCCCCTCAAGTTTCCTAAGCTGTAAATCTTTATGGAGTCACGCTGCCACATCTTTAGAGGAGTAGCTGGTAGAGTCAAACTCCCTGTCCAACACTCAGAAGGAAAATGTTCTTTCACTCTCCTGCTTCAGTCCACCCACTTTCTGTGTGGAAGTGGAGTCCTTGACTTCTGACTCACCCACGTGGATGCCCCCTCCTTTCACCGGCCCTCCCCAGGACCGCCCAGGCCGAGGAGGCCCCAGGTTCCTACCTGCCTCTCAGAGAGCCCCAGCGTGGCAGCCAGCTCAGCCTTCCTCCGGATGGTGATATAGCGACTGAAGTGAAACTCCTTCTCCAGCTCCAGTCGCTGGTGATCAGTGTACACCACGCGGTATTTGTCTTTCGTCCTGGTTTTCACTGTGAAGCACAGACAAGTTAGAGTCCAGAACGCCACGGTGGCCCATCTGTCATGGCTAATGACAAACCTCCTTAACCCAAGAGCCATTTCTCTTCCTCTGCCACCCTGGGGGCCCCTGCTCAGGCTGGTTCCTGCAGAGCCTGACAAGACCCCCCACAGGGCTGGGGAGCAGGAGGGAATGTGGGACCCCAGGTTGTGTGGCAACTAAACTAACCTTGAGGCTAGTGGTTTTTAAAAATGATGATAAACTAAGCCTCTCACACACACAGAAGACAGAAGATAATGTTACTTTAAAAAAAAAAAAAAAACAAGAAATATCCAACCTTGCACATATAGAATCATAGAAGCGCAACCCCTATGGGCAAGTGAGCAGAAGCCTCCCACTGCTGTCAGGTCGATTCCAACTCACTGCCACCCTCCATCCGGTTTCTGAGACTAAATCCTTACCACAGAGATGCCTATCCTTTTCCTTCTGAATATACTGCCTGGCAGATGCAAACCGCAGGCCTTTGGAGATAGCAGTGCCCCAGATAACTACCCGGGTTCCCCGGAAATAGTCACTTTGTTAAGTTCTGAAAGATTGTTCTGAAAACAGCTAGAATGGTGCATCCACGTTGTTGTCATACAGAGTGTGTTTTTTGCTCCAGTCTCCTAAATCCTCCCTCGGGCCCACCAGGCCCATCCGGAGGAATTCTGAACCGGATCTGACCTTCCGCAGCCCAGTCTGGCCACAAACGCCACCCTACCCAGGAGACACATTTTCTACCTGGCTGGACCAAGTTTGGGTGTTTGGCACTTTTTTCTTTTCAATCCCTCATTTATTTCCTTGCAAACCCGGTAGGGCTATCCTGGCCAGTGATCTGTGCTCATTGGATTGAGTCAACATATTAAATCTTGGATTGATTGTTTTACTGAAGGACCTTGACAAATAGTGCAGACTCTGTCGGGTTAGGCCCCAGACCGGCGTCCTGGCGGGTCTGGGCTGGGTCGGGCCTTGTTGGAGCCTGAGCCTAGCACTTTCCTCTGGGGATGGGTCTGGGTTGAGGGGGGCTTTCAGGCCCCCAACACCATTCCTGCGCGCAGTGCCTACCCCTCGGTGTAGAGCTGAAGGGCCGCGCAGTTGCTTGGAGGTGTTTAATGCCCCGCAGGCCGACTTTGTTCAGGTAAAAACCCTTTGCAAACCACAACAAAAGCGCCCTGGGAAGCTACAGGCCGGATCAGAGGGCACTCTCCCGGGCCGCTGAAAGGGGAACACAGCCACAAACAATGCAAGACAAGATGATCTTATCAAAGAAAAGCTCTTTCAATGCCTTAATAACAACCACACTCTGTTTGAATTACCACTACTGAGCAAATGGCGGCCCGGCTTTCATCCCCTCCAGGCCCGGCGCATTAACATAAACATCGCCTCGCAAACGCATTTGAATGGGTCCCGCGGCGCTGACCCCACGCCCGCTAGGAAAGAAAAGGCCAGCAGCAGGTCGGGGGCGGGGGGGGGGGGGGCGCGCTTCGTCGTGGGCACGTCCACACGTGTGAGCGCCCCGAGGCCGCTGCCGCTGCGCGCCCCTGTCTCAGACGGGGAAACTGAGATCTAGGCAAGGTCAGGAAGGGAGCGAAAGGCGGGGCTTGCACTGAGCTGGCTCGAGTCACTGGAGTCACTCCGGACTCCGCTAGAGCTGCAGGTCTGAGGCAGGCGGGTCTCTAGAGCCGAACGCCCCAGGAGTATACTCGTTTTGAGGCCGCGGAGTAACTCTGGCTTGGGTGCTATGCTATCCTTTCTCGATTTAAGGGACCCAGGAGCTGGGTACGTGTGCGCCCCGCGCCCCACACCCCCTGGGAACCAGGGAGGGGTTGGGGGAGGGGAGGGATGAGAAGGACTTGTCAGAATTCATTATTGACTGCGAAAGTCACCTTCCTCTTTCCGGACCCTAGAAGAGACAATGGCAGCGCTGGGAAGGTGTATATCAAAGCGGACCGGGCCGCGCGCCCCCCTCTCCGCCCCTTGACAGATGACGCTGCCCAGAGGAGTCGCCGGCGGCGGGCAGCGGCCTCCCCACATTAGCATCACAAGGGCGCTGGGCGCCGGCCCAGGCCCTACCACCTCGCCGCGGGACTTCACAGCGGCCTCTCATCTGCTGACCCCACGGCCTGAGCTCCTACGACCACGCTTCATCCCCCGCTCGCCCGGCCCAGCCTGCAGCCACTGTTCCCCGAGACGCACAAGGTCTCCCTGTAGGGTCTTGGGAGTGCAGACCGCCAGGCGCCCCCACTCGGAGCCGGGGACTTGGGAGGGAAGGAACCCCAGCCAAGGCCGCTGAGTCTCGGGCTTGGCCATTTCCTTGGTGGCCACTTGTCCCACTCGGCCGCTCCTGGAATGTGCCCAGTGACGCACAGCCCGATGCTGGAGACAGCTGCCGATGGCCAGGCTGATTTACACGGCTGTAAAGGGCTGTGAAGTCCGCCGAGCGGCCATACCCTGCGCTGCGACAGCCGGCCGGGAGGGCAGGGAAACGGGACGCGGAAGCGCGCAGGGCTGGAGAAGCCTCCTCGAATAAAAAAGGGACGCCAGCAGGCGTCTCCCACCACACCTGTTCGCACTTCCTGCCCACCTGCCCGACGTCCTGTACCAGGCTAGTGGCTGCGGAGCTCGCCAGCCCATCACACACACACACACACACACACACACGCGCGCGCGCACACACACACACACACCCCTACACCCCCCCACACACACACACACTTATTCCTCCTGAGATCCTTGCAGGAGAGGTTGGGGAGAAACGGGCCCACGCACGAGTGTAGCTGAGCTAACTCCCCACCAAGGCTGCGTCCCCATCTCCCTGCCCTCTCTCCCAGACATGAGGTAACTCCCATTCGCTCCAAGAACTTTTGCCTGGAATAACTTTTTGCTTGAAAGAACCATTTTTGCATGAGACAGATCAGGGGTTTGAGAACCCGAGCGCGCCCGCCCCCTTGGTCTATGGAGCCCGCACCTTCGCTCCAACCACAGCTGCTTTCTCGACCTCAGAGTGGCGTGAATTAGCCTCACTGTTGAGCCTTGCCCCAAGGGCACTTCGCTTTCCTTCTTCCCCTCCCCCTCAAGATTCTCTAAGCACCCTTCTCGCCTGTTTCGGGGAGCTAAGCGGAGAAGGCACAGGCAGAGAGGAACCACCTGGAGGCCGGCGGGGATGTATGAGGCCGCCTGTCAGCGCCAGTCAGGTGCTGAACCTCAGCGTGCTGGGTCAGTGGAGAGGCCATGGACGCCTCCAGATCCTCCACCTTTCCTCTGGTTCTCCCATGGGCAGCTGGAGGTGCCCTGAAGTTGTGAATGAGCGAACAGAGGGAATGAGGGTGGAGACAAGTCCTACTGATGGCTTGTGTTGTTATGTGACACCAAGGGTCCTCTCCTAGGACAACCCCGGAGCGAGAGGCCCCGGCTCACTGCCTTCCTCCTCCCCGGGCGCCCTGTGCGCGCGGCCCTACGGTCCTCCCAGGCGTCCTCCCGCGGGCCCCCGCCTCCGCTCACCTTGGCTCCCGAGTGACGGCTGCGGCGGCTTCCGCATCCAATCGCACAGGTTCCGCCGCTGACCTCCCGGAGACAGCTGCTCGGCCGCGGCTGCGGTGGGCCCGGGCGGCCCGGGGTTGAGCGTCTGCAGCAATCCCGAAGTACAGGAGGGCGCCGCGGCCGGGTGGTGTGGGTGGTGGTGCGGGTGATGGTGCGGGTGGTAGTCGGCGGGGCTGCTGTAGCCCATGGCCGCGGCCGGAGAGGCCCCGTTGAGGCCGTGCGCCACGGCGTTGGCGGCGGCCGCTGCGCCCCCGGGTGCGTAACCATTCCAGTCTTCGCGGAGCGGGGCGCCATAGGGTGCGGGCCACGACGGTCCGGGAGACTGAGCGCTGTCCAAGTTCGCCGCCGCCGCGGCCGCCGCGGCCACGTGGTAGCTGCCGTAGTCCGGGTACTGCGGGGGGCTGACGAAGTTCTGTGGCGCCAGGTTGAGGCCGCCGGAATGGCGCACGGAGCTCGGGTACATGCTCACGTCCTTGTCCAGGAGGTAACTCACGTACATGGTGGCGAGGGCCCGGGAGCAGACTTCACCATGCTGCCTGGAGACGGATGCGGGAGGCTGCGGGCCCTCGAGGGGAAGGAGTGGGGGGCGCGGAATAAGGACTGCGCGCGGACAGCCGAGTGCCTGGCTCCTCGCTGCGCTCCTGCCTCCGAGGCGGTCCCTCCCTCTGGCTGGTCTCCTCCCTCCTTCCTCCCTCCCTTTCTTCCTTCTTTCCTCCCACCTCCTTCCCTCTTGGCTGCAGAGGCGGGGAAGACCCGCCACAACCTGGCGTGCGGAGTCCTAGGACAGCGACCTTCTGTGATTAACGAGTGTTTACAGGACACTATTAGTAATGACACAGACACCAATGGCTGCAGACGTCGAGGCGCAGCGCGCACCCCGCGCACAGCCCCCCCCCCCCGCGATTTGCATTTTAAAAGACACCGGTACCCGAGGGGGGGTACCGAGAGGGCAGTGACCTGATCACAACTAAATATTCAAACCTTTATTGTTAAGAGCTTCCTCCTTCCAACCGGGTGCCCTTCTACCTCCAATCAACAGGTTCAAAGAATGAAATCAAGAGACTTGCAAAAAAGAGAGGGGGAGAGTGGGAATTATTTTTGGTGGGAATGTGGGTTTGGGTGTGCGGTGACGCATTTGCAGGGAAGGGGGGCCCTTAAGAAACTCATTAAGCATGAAAAGAAAAGAGAAACCATAGCTTTGATGAGAATGTTTCTGACCCACCGACCTGGGAGGTGAGAGTCCCCTAGAGGGGCTGGCTCCTTCCTGCCCTGCGCTCTGGCCCAGGCGCCTGTCCCCTGAAAGCCCTCACTGCTGAGCACCCATCTTCTTGTTCAAGAAACTCCCTACGCCTCCTTAAGAGAGAAATTATGGCCCTGTTTTCAGGCTGCGATTTAACTTAAAGCGATTTATTTGAAATAACGTTTACATTAGAGACTAAAAGAGAAAAGCTTTTTTCCCCCAAAACGTCCCAGTCAGCTGTGTGGCTGCGCTGAAAGGCCGCGTGGAGGGGCGGAGGAGAATGCTGGGGGATGAGAGCGTCCTCGGTCCTGAGCAGTGTGCTGGTGGCACAGAGGGTTTCGCTTGTGTCAGTTCAGTGACTTGCCCTTAGGCTTATTTCTTACACTCAGAATAAGTGGCGACGATCAAGAAAAGAGAGGCCAAGAGTTTCTACGGATACTGAGTCTTGGGTATTTTCATATGTCCTCTATTATTAATTTCGCAAGTACTGAGTATTTCTATTTTTCCACATACTTGTATCTTTAAAAAAAAACAAAACACCCCACGATAAAATAGTGAAAAATTTATTAGAAAGTTACATTACCAAAGGGCCTTCCCTACTTGAAATATGGAGGAGAGGCCCATACTTGTATCTTAAAAACACTTTCTCAAAATCTCTGTAGATGTTCATTGAAATGAAAAATAAACAACCTAAATTTAAAAAAAACAAATACTTTCTCCATTGCAAAAGTAAACCCTTCTCCAAAGACTCTCTTTTCATCTGGGGGGAATGAAAGGCCTTTATTAAACATTGCTCACAGTAGGGGATTGGGAGCACCTCGTCTAAGGAAAGGGACTCTGGGCTGAAAGTGGCCTCAGTGGGGACCAGTGTGGAGTGGTCAGGGGCTGAGGCATTGACTAGCAAGGGGGGGTTGCTGTGGGATTGGGCGCTATAGTGCCTGTCTGTCTTGGTTTCAGGACTGTGGTGATCGGGCCAGCGGTGCGGCAGCCGCCTCTGCTCCGCCCGCCCCCCCACCCCCACCACCACGCGAGCCACACTCAGGGTCCCCTCCAGCATGGCTGTGAGCGCTCCAAAAGCGCAGCCTCCGCCCTGAGGGGCCCCTCATTTGTTCATTCTTATTACCAAGCGCTTCTCTCAATATACCTCGCCTGTCACCTCACCCTGCCGTCCTGGAGAAGCGCTTCCCCGTGTTCTTTATCTCCTGGCTCCTCACAGGACCCTGGAGTGGGGGCAAAGCCCGACTCCTCACTGTACTCCTGCCATCCACCCAAGCGCGCAGCGGAGGATCAGAACAAGGCTTCGAGATCCCAGACTCACTGGGCCCTCCGCCCTTTGTGTATCCAAAGGAGAGGCTCATGTGTGCGTATGTGGACCTGCCTCAGCCTGGCTCCACACATGAGCAGGCCAGCGAGTGTCCCAGAAGTGGGAGACTGGAGCCCGCGGTGCGTGCGCCCCTCTCTACCCACATTAACGAGGGTCTTCAGATAGTCTTAGAAATCAAGTCGGGAATAAATAGGAAACCCCCAACGGAAACCCCAAAGCCTAGAAGAAAGGAAGGAGATGAACCCACTCCCGATGGGAAGGACATGGGGGAGGATAAATGGAGGCGCTGTGGACTTTTGATCTAACCAAAGTCTCCCTCTTCCTGGTGACCCAATCTCTTTGCCTCCTACACTCCTTTTCTCACTCTCAAAGCCCAGGCCCAGGCTCGAGCCTGTGTCTTCGCAATCCTGGCATTCTTTGGAACAATCGCTTTATTGGGGACAGCCATCCCTCCGCCCTGCAGTGGCCACTTCCTGCGTTTTTATGACCCTGGCCGCCGGTTGCTTGCTAATTGTCCCGGCTGTCCAGCTGTGTCTCTGTGCTTGTCCAGGATGAAGAACCTCTGCCCAATGCCTAGCTCCATGGGGAGTGGCCAGTCTGGGGGCCCTGGTACCCCTGGATGGGCTGTGACACCAGGAACTGGAGAGTTACTTGGAGCCCCCAGGGCCTGGAGAAACTTGGTGGCTCTCCCTGTAAAATTGGGCCTGTGGGAGGGCCCCTGAACACAATTCTGGGCTCTGGGCTCTTTGATGATGTGGAAGGAGCCAGGAGCCAGAAAAATGTCTGGAGGTTTTGAACAGGTTCCCTGGACTGGAAGCCCTCCCCACCCCTCTACCCGCATTCAGGTGACCTTCAGTCAAGAGACGACCTGCCTGTGCTGCTCTGCAGTTTTGGGGCAGAGCAACCAGAGAAGAGAGGACAGTGTATGATGGGAAGGCCATCTAAGTGACTTTTCCTGGTGCTTTAATCTAGTGGCAGTTGGTCTTCTGGGTGAGCAGGTGCGCAACTCCCAGCCCTCAGAGCTATGCCCCAGGCACCAGGCAGGGCCTGGTGCAGAGTCCCAGGCCCCAGGCCCCAGGCCCCAGGCACTGGGCGAGTTTCTTAGAGCTAGACAGCCTGCCCTTCGGCCTGAGTGGAGAACCCTGGGTAGGGAGAAATCTGACCTTAAGCTCCTCTCTGGCCTCCTGCCCCTCTTGATCTGGTGGTGTCTACAGGCCATATCTGGGCAGAAAAGTCCAAAACCCCTGGAGAAGCTGGACCAATCTGGAGCTACACAGGAGCACAGGAGGAGGAAAGAGCCAGGAGGGAGAGAAAGAGAGAGAGAAAGAGAAAACACGCATGCTCACCCAGCCAGGTAAAAAGTTCGGGGCAGAGCCAGATCTTCAAAGAGCAGTATCTCTTATTGACATCACAGCTCCCAAAAGCCATTGCACACTCCAGGAGAGGATCCAGCAGCTTCCAGGGTCCCATCTGTGTCCAGGGCTGGGGCCCCTGGAGGTGGGGTGGGGAGCAAAAGACAGCCAGAAGCAGATGGGACCAAGAGATGAGACAGTGGAAGGC